GGGGGGGGGGGGGGGGGTAGATGAATGCAAACTTGTCCTCCACCCCAAGAGGTGGAACTGTTGTTTCTATGAAGATTCCTGGCTTGTACGGAAGTGAGAGTTAAAAGGAAGAAGAATGAAGACTAGTAAATAGAAAGCAAGAAAACGAATAAGAAGCAGCAAAAAGCATAGAGAAGTTAAGTAAAAGCACACATCACTTCCTACCCTGTCTGCCAACCCTCAATCTGTCTATGCTTGCTATCGTCCCTAAACCTGGTTTGCTATCTTAGCCCAACGTCTCCAAAAACTCCTGTTAATAGCCTTGATATGAGTTGTGTATTCCATCGAAACTGCCCTACAGAACCGTGTCCTAGTGTCTTTAGCCCTATGAATAGCCTCAATATGAGCATCTTTCCAACTTATATTACCATGAACAAATTATTTGTGGTTTTGGGAGAAGGATGGTCCAAGAGTTCCCGGAGATTTTCATGTTTCATTGGCTTCTTCCTTGATGCAAAGGTGAGGTGAAAATCTGAGGCCATATCATATAAAGATATTATGTTCCTCCCTTCTCTCTTTGGTTTTTCTTTTTGCTGCTCAAAAACTGAATCATTGAGATTTTAGTTAAGCCCATGACCTCTTGACCTGTTAAAGAAAATTGGCATAAGAAGGTGATGGATTTAAGGTTATGTACCTAAATAAGATATCTCACCTATGAAACATGAAGTACCAACTCCTTGAAGGAGTTATTCAGTGTTGATGTATTGGGAAATTTTGCAGGGCTATTTAACCAAATGACATCATTGAGACAAAACAAAGGTAGGTGGTCATTGAGTTTATGAAAAATTACAAGCTCATTTCACTAAATAACCTTTGGATTGTAGAATGTAGAGGGATGGATTTGTAGTCAAAGGATAACTGCATATTTAGAGTAAACTGGATAAGTTATACTTGTGTTTATTTTGGCATTGCAAGTGTTGAAAACTAATAAATTACCTTGCAAATACAAATTACATAAAATTGTAACATATCGTATTAAAACGAACAACAACATTACCTATTTGTCACAGCCCTTTTATGTTAATCAGTTTTATGTGTATGGTTTTGTAAAGGGACAAGAATATATTGGTTTATATTTTGATTGATTTATTGCATCAGTATTAACAAACATAGTAATCCTATCATTTTGATGCAAAAGATAAATATGCAAAATTGTTGTATGATTTTTCTTACATTATTGGGCTCATTTCTCCATCAATTTTCAGACCAAAACAATTTGTTAAGCAAAATGTAAATCATATAGTGATGAACAATTAAGCCATTGATATTCTATGTTTAATTATATAAACTCAAGAAAATTAGTACCAAAGGTGCTTTACTAAGTGGGTTTTTGGTTGCAGAATGGAATTTGGTGAAATTGCAATCTATCATAGGAATTTAACTTTGATGGAATTTGACCACGTGTTTTTGGTTGGGTAGTCGGCTGGTGGGGGCGAGTTGTGGGTAGGGATGGGTGGGATGACAACAATGGCATGGTGGTCAGTGTGGGGTGGGGGAGTGACAGTAGTATTAGGGTCGTGGTGGGGGCAGGTTAGAGTGGATGCAAGAGGATGAAATTCAATTTTTTTACTTATGTCAAGAAATAATGAATTTATTAACTTTTGAATTTTATTCATTTCAATTGTGAAATGAAAGAAATTGGAATTTGATCAAAGGAGTTGATCTTTACAATTTTCTTGAAATCCTTTAAAAAACATGAAGTAAAACAAATATTTGTTCCAATTTTAATATGAAGGCGTTTTCAATGCATATACACAAATCATTGAATATTGGGTTTAACTAAAGTCAAAATCAAACTTTCTTTCTACATTAAGATTATCAAACGATCACTGTTTAGGGGCCGTTTTCCATCCTTGACCACGGGAAATTTGTACATTCTCACCCATATATATATGCACACATATATGTGTGTGTATGTGTGTGAGAGAGAGAGAGAGAGAGAGAGTGAGAATTCGCTACAAATTTCCCAATATATACTAATAAGAGGAAACAGGTTGCTGGTAACCTACCTCTCTGTCCAACTGGGTGACCTTTTTTCCCCAAAGTGTTGAACCTAACCAAGTATATTACGGAAAGTGCACGTAATAAGAATTTGCTAATACACTCTACCCATTAAAGAAGAGGAAAGTGAAAAATTATGAAATGTACTCGTAAAGCATTTACAACAATTCCCAAATCCACTGGTTTATAGAAGCTCATAATACAAATAGCTTTTTGGGATTGTTTATTAGAGTTTATCACTTCATTCAACTTATTTTTCTACACACATTACTTCTTTCCCACAAATTTTAAATGGGGTTTCGTTTATTTTTGCTTCTGCTACCCATACATCATACAGCCTCAATCCGTGTTCGACTTTCAGAAGGAAATGTGTACGTATTTTGGATGTTTAAGACGATTGTGCTCATAAAAAGGTACATTTAAGGCTTAAAATGCTACATGAAGAGAATATAGTAATAAACGCTCCTGCTCCATACATACATGTGAGAAACAAGATCGAGCAAGGCTTCTACCCCACCTCTTGCCTTTTGGCTTTATGCAGAGGTTTCAATGCATCATTTAATCCATCATGTTTCAACATTCCTGCAAGGAACAAACACGTTTACTGCTATCATTCATTCTTTTATTCATTGCATCTTATAAAACCAAAAGTTTAACATATTTCCTAGCACATCTTCACAACTTGGCCCTTCGGTCTCTTTTGCCTCTTTTCTTCGTCATATTCCTCCTCCCCTGTTCCTCTGAATCGTCCATCTCTCGCTCTCCAAATCTCCGTTCAACGTCTGCACATTCTCACCCAAAAAATATGAATCAGCTCCAAATTGACCCCACAATTGACCCCAATAGACTAGTAAATAAACAGTGCTTAACACGAATCATGCCACAATCTAGTTGATTACATCGGTAAATCTCCAATTAAGCAAATGCAATTCTACACAAAAAGATAGCTTTCCGATTGGAAATAAATGATGAAAACGGTAGGCTAAGTACATCAATGGATGATGCAATTGCAATTGGGCGCTTGAATAATGGCAAGATTTCGTAACCATAGCGTTTGGCACTTACATAGACTCTACATCCGTCTTATCATAAGGTTGTGGATGATATCCTCTTTGAAACCAACATCATATGTCGCATATTGAATAGGTTGAAGATGAATCCATAAAGCTGTGCAGTATAAATTTCGGTTCAAAATAAATAAACAAATCAATCAGTATATGACTAGAAGAATAATTCTTGATTAACTACTTATTCCAACATATATGCAAAAAAACACGGGATAATTTTTATTGGTATACAACTACAATCCCAAAAAGAACATGTTGGAATAATTGATTTTATGTTTTGTTTAGTTCTGCTTTTCCTGAAAGCGGAGTGATGCATGAGGGCATGAAATTCTCTCTTCTTAGCTTGCATAAATCCTTCCTAGCCTGTCTATGAAAAAAGTGTCGATGATAGGAAGGTTTTCCAGTAAAAATAAACGTGGGGTGAATCTTCCATTTATCATATCTATGGGCCTGTTTTAAGACAAAACCAGCTAGCTGATACTAATGACAACTGCCTTTTGGCTTCTGCTAGATTAGCATATAAGATTTAACTATCACATAAAGTAGCAAAACACTATAAATAGTCATCTCAAACACAAAATAAACAATATATATAAAGATATGCATCATCAAGAGAGAACAAATATTCATACTTTTATAGAAAAACATCATACCAAACAAGAATAGGAAGATTATACATTCTCCAAAACTTGTAGCGATTTAGAGCAAGAAAAACAACCAAATTATGGAATCATACAGCCAAGAAAAAGAAATACTTTTTGCGGAATTGCACAACCAAGAGACTAAATTACTTTTACTTTTGATGCAATCTCAAACACAGAGAAGCAATATCATACACACAAATTTCAAATTGATGGTATGTTGGGTCTACATTAGCCCGAAGATATTGAAAGTTTTATAAAGTCAGTTTCATGTATTGTATTGTAATATTCATTGTATTTGGGCATTGGGCTTACTTGTATAGGCACCTATAAATAGGTGTCTTGGACTTTTAGAATCATTATTGTGAGAGTTAAAAGAGAGTCGTTTAGTGTGTGGAATTGCTTTGTAAACTTTCTGTTTCCAATAATAATAAACAGGCCTGTGTTCTTCAATAATTCTTGATTTGCTGTTCAATCTGGAATTTTCAATTGGTATCAGAGCAGAATCAAATCAAATTTTATTCGATACGATCATATTTTGCAGCAAATTCAAGTTTTGAATATGTTTTCCCAATGGAAGAGTGCTCGTGTTTGAACAGTTTCCATGATCGTCATTCTTGAGCTTATTTGGTCAAATTTATTATGATTTTGAATGTTTTAATCCAATTCGAGCTTAAAGATTTACCTATTTGTGTTTTCGAGCATGTTATGATCATGAATTTGGGCTTAACTTGAAGAAATTTTGGATTTTTGATGATTTTTAGTCGAACTGTTTGAGTTGAACTGTCAGATTCATGAACATCTCTCGATGAATATTCATCAAGAACATCGCCCAATAAAGATATGATGGCTGTTATGAGATATATTTGGTAAGATATCGCCCATTAAAGATGTTGGTGACTTGGCTAATCTGATACTGTTTTGAGCGCTTTTTGGGTCTTAGGCAATGTTTTGATGAATTGAGCGATATTTGAGGATACCGCCCAAGAAGTGAGCGATATTGTTTTAAACCGCCTAAGACATGAACGATATTTGAAGAACATCGCTCAAGTGATGAACGATATTTGAGTGTATCGCCCAAGTGCTGAGCGATATTTGTGTTATGCTTTGAAGTTTAAAAATCGGCCAAGTATCAAGCAATATCCTTGATGGGCGATATCCTTGATGGACGACATTCTCATATCAAGCCGTTTGTCTATGTTACTCAAGCATCATGCAGGTTATGTGTTGAACAATATTCTTACACTAAGTGATATTCGAGTATACCGCTCAAGCCTCAAGCAATGTTTATGTTGAGCGATATTCTGAAAGTTGAGTATATCGGCCGCAATATACACTGTTCATTGAAGAAACCGCCTAAGGGGGAGCTTGAAGTATTCTTTGAAGATGAGCAACACCTAAAGTTTTCCAAAGAAAGTAGGGAAGATTATCTAAAGGCTTCAGAAGATGCTTCCTTTATAAAACTTTAAAGGGGGGATAGATTAGCCCCAAGATATGGAAAGTTTTATAAAGTCAGTGCTTTGTATTATAATACTCTTTATATTGTAATAGGGCTTTGGGTTTGAGCTTACATGTTGTAAGTGGCACCTATAAATTAGGTGTCTTTGGGTTTTAGATTCATGATTATTGAGAGTTCTATGAGAGTCGATTAAGAGAGATTGCTTTGTAATTTCAGTTTTCTACCAACAATAAATGACCAATTGATAATCCTAGATTAATCAAACAATCAATATAACATCGAGAATGCAAGAATTCATTAATGGCATAATGTAAAATGTAGAGAGAGAATCTTCAAAGCTTAAAGTTGATATTTCTTCAAAGGTTACAAAGTTACAAGAGTTCTATCAAAGTTCTATCCAAGATCTACTAAAACTAAAACAAGCTACCTATTTTTACCCAAACGGTATTTACAACATGAGGCTTGAATACAACATAAAATAGAACTTAAATTCTCCCCCTTTAGATTCAAACTCAGCATCTTGTATATCTTGTTCTTCTCAATCCAAGATGTGCTTCCAATCTTCTCACCGCATTTCTATACTAGCTTTTAATCAAACATTTGTAAAGCCTTGACCAGCAGATATCTTTCTTTCATATTAAGCTTTCCAAACCCAGTAGCTTTATCATCATTCAACCTTCTAGAATCCAACCGTCTTTTGATCACTTTAATTGTACCATCACAGCACTTTGACAGTTCAGCAAATCTCAAAAATCATTTGCACCTTCTAGATTCTTATACACCACTCCAAATTCAGGATCTTCAAGAATCATATACAGAGGATGACCATTAGCATCTCCAAGCTCTTGATTTAAGTCTTCAAATTTTTCAAGGATATGTTGATAACTTTCTGAGCCACCTTACACTTACAAGATTGAGGAGAATTCTAGATCTGCCAACTGCAAATGCATTTCCGGGCAAAGATTCCTTTGATGACTTTGCAACTGAAAAGGAGTTGTGCGCAAATATACAAACGGTTGGGTTACTCCGGTTTACTAGACAATCCATCGCAGTTCAAACAGAAATTTCTTCCATCCATCTGGCACATCGTATATTCTATCTTGAACCAATGCCTTACTTCAAAGACTGCAGGAGTCGACACTTGCAGCATTGCATTCCTAAGATTTTTTCATGGCATCATGTTCAACAAACATTACGACTACACTGTCATCATATGGAACGAAAATTGCTGAATTAGTCCATGCCAAGAAATTTGCTTCAAGATCGAGAAAATTTATTCCATTTCAAAGATTTTTGCAAATCATCATCGGGTCAATTATGCGGTCCAACAAAGAAATACCTTCAAGGATCAACAGACCTCTTGGACCGGACTATAAGATGCAATTCCTGAAGGCTCATGTTGAAGTAGACAATGTGGACTCAATCATGTCCATTCTTGAAGAGCTTCTAGTATATGCTGATCAGAGTGCTCAATGTGTGCTAGAATATAGGAGAGTCATAGCTCCTACAGTCCAGCCAGAGTCGGAAGAACTTTCCCCGAAAGCAATCCAAAGTTTAGCCGAGAGCAGTGAAGGTCGGTCTAGCTGAGAATGTTCAGGTACATGGGATATCTGAACAAGGTGTGTGGAGGGATATTGTGAATGAGCGGGGAATGGCTGGGGGAGACTCTGATCAAGCAATGATTAAGCAAGAAGCTTCAAACGATGAATCTACTTCTGAAGACTCTGATTCTGAAAATAGTGTTGATGCTGAACAAGAGTCCGATTCAATGATGATGATGACAACATGGTTGATGTTGAGCTTATACCGAGTCACATTGGTTTACATCTAGAGATAGACTTTGACTTAGACAACTTTGTACCTGATTTTGATTTCGATGCTGAAATTCAAAACACTATTGGTGATATAAGGAATTTTGAGGAAGATATAGTTGAAAATACTGAGAGGTTGTGTGGCAGTGAAGTACAAGAACATAGGGAGCATGTGACAGGGGTACAAAATAATCAGATCCCTCTCCAAACTTTTAGGAGAAGACGGGTAGCCACATCTGCTATTAGTTCTCGTGTATGGAGTTCTAGTATTGAAGAAGCCATAGTGCACCCAACTATGCAATTGCACATCCTCCCATGCCACTCAGACATCTCTCAACAGATGTCTGTTTCAACTTCTCACAGGGAATTTGCACAAAATCTATTCAGTCCTCACTCAGAGGATTTGAATATTGAAACTAGTAGACATCTGCCCCAGTCTAAGACTTCATTTGTATGCACTTCGAGTCTTGAGCCCTCAACATCCTTTTCTATACAATTTTTTGGAGCATTTGTTGCTCAACCTGCAGTTTTTAGTGAATTAGCCGAAATGACCAGAGTAGAGTCACTAAGTGACATTCTACAAGGAAAGGTCGGAAGTCCTATCAACGTTAACAATATTCCAGTGTTGAACGTAGGCACAATGATGTATTCAACTGTAGTTACATGGTAACCTAAGTGGTCCATGTGTTACTTTACCAGACTTGGTGTCAATAGAATACTTGGACGAAGCCCTAAAGGATGTTCAAAATTCATTCATGAAGGAAATAAGGGGAATCAAATCGTTGCTAAAGGGAAAGCAGAAGGTCGTTGAAGAAGATCCAATTTTGCCACCACACCACCACCTCAACCTTTTCAAGAAATGGAATTATCAGTGGATGAGCTTAAATCGATGTTATATGCTAAGTTACTTTCACAAACTATCATGGACTCATCGGATGCGGATATGCTTGCAATGTTACGACGTTCAGTGGAAGAATCCCAACCTGTCAGTGCCTCAAAGTTTCATTCTTTCCAAAACAATGTTGTTTCTAGCCTATCAAAGCTTGACTCAACCATTGCCTCTTCCACCCAGATAATTCAAGAATCCTTAATCGAATTATTTGAAAGAGTATCCATCTTGGAGACTTCTTGCAAAGCTCAGGCCACTTCTCTCAAAAGAAGACATGATGATCAGGATGATCCCGATCACCATGAAGGAGAGAACAAGAGACAGAGAGTGGTTGAGTCCTATGAATTTATGGGAGCTTGAAGTATTCTTCAAAAAACGAGCAACACTAAAGTTTTCCAAAGAAAGCATGAGGAGATGATTTGAAGGCTTCAGAAGATGTTTCCTTTATAAAAATTTAGGGGGAGATTGTTGGGTCTAGATTAGCCCCAAGAAATTGAAAGTTTTATAAAGTCGGTGATTTGTATTGTAATATTCTTTATCTTGTAATTGGGCTTTGGGGTTTGTACTTGCAATGTAATTGGCACCTATAAATAGCTGTCTTGGGTCTTAGATTTCATGTTTTTCATATGAGAGTCGTCTAAGAGTGATTTGCTTTGTAAGCTGTTTTCTGTTTTCAATAATAAACAGGCCTGTGTTCTTCAATAATTCTTCTTGATTTGCTATTGAATCTGGGATCTTTATGGTACCAACAGGGGCAAACACCAAAAACCACAAAAGTTTCTAGTTTAACTTCCTCCATTAGAAAAAAAATTTCAAATACCTGGTGTGTTCACAAAAAAAAAAAACAAGCAGAACAAACCAGTAGTGAAATGGAAGAATTCAAACAGACCAGTATCCTACTATATTAACATCTTACTCAAGAGACCTACACTCTACACTATACTATGCAGAAAAAGCAAATTGAATTCAGGAATTTCAGCAACACAATTGCTGCTAAATAACACAGATAGGCGTGAGTCAGAAGACAAGAACAATCAAATCCTCATGTAGTTGCTCACTACCGTGAACAAGTAAAACAAGGCAGAGAAAGAAGTAAAACATGATGGGAAGGAACCAAGATCCATCAACAAACACCATAACACAATCAAGAAACTCCACAATCAAGATTCAAAGGTTTAGATATACCTGCAGATCCCGTTGATAGGAGAGACGAGAGACAGAATGATACCGCTTGTTCTAAATAGCCATGTGTAACAGCAGGGGAAATTCTGGAGTACGGCATGTTCTGAATCATATGGCTTTAACCTAGAAATTGAGCAATTTAGAGGATCTTGGAATGATTCAGATGATTTTAGAAGTTCAAAAAGCAACTCTGATGTCTGATCTATTCAGATGTTCATCCAGAGCCAAACATACAGCCCCTTAGCCGATACAAGTAATATTTCATTCAATAGGCTTTCCAATGATCTTTCTCAAAATCTTTTTCTCAAGCAGCCAAACCTGTGGAGAGAAGGAAAGACACCTGGGAAAGACATGATCATCATGCTCATGCAACAAGCATTCACTTCTAATTTCAAAGGAAAATGATACATAGAAAGATCGTCGTAAAAAAACACTTTACCCTGTAACGCAGGGGAAGGCAATGCAGGAAAATTTCTATTCCAAATCAAATATGATGACTGATGAGTAAGGGGTGTGCAGTTCTTTCTTCCCAGAGAAAATACAATAAGTAAAAATCCCTGAAGGAAAAAAGGTTCTAGTGATTACTTGTATAATACTATAGGAGCATACTAATGAACCAGCAAACTCAACCAATTAAAGAATTATATATTAGAAATCTGAAGATCTAAATGATCATGTATTCCTTCCTAGATATGATACATGTGAGGTGGTCATCTTGCAATGACGCTTCGACCTCGACACCAGGTAGAGGGGGACTACCCACTAAGTTTAGGCACATCAATAAGGAGAGAAAAGAAACTTACAAGGATTCCCTGGTAACGGCCAATCAATCAATCAATCAATTTTCCATTGATTTCACGCATCAACAATCTAGAGTTACCAACAACACGTTTGCTTTCTTTGATGATATAACTACATAGCTCATGCTTAGGTGCTGGACATAGGCTCTTTAACTCAATTAAGGGATCTCTAACCACGTAATTACTGTAAATCTCCCTTGCAGGCTGAACGTGATCCCACCAAAAATCTGATAATGCTATCTTTAAGACCTTCCAATACTCTACATCCCTGTCTATCCTAATTAAACTGCTCCCTTTGGGAGTCCACACATAAAAATCCATCCAATCTCGATCCAAGATTTCCATCAATCCTTGGGCTTGTGGAATGAAATTGTACGGAACTTGAGACCATGGATAACCCTTTCTCATATCACCCTTATAAAATGGGCATTTTATTTCTAGCACTCCTCGGTACGGCAAACCGTAAATAATCTTGTCAACTACCCCATCAGGAGAAGCTGCAAACCAATTGTCTGCGGGATTCAATTTACCACTAACCTGGAATTCAGGTAATATAACAGAATTTCCAGTTATCAGCTTATATCTTTCAAGTGCCTCCTCTTCTTTGATGTTATTCCAACAAGTTGCCAGGTTTCCGGTGAAAGGTTCAACAGCACCAATCTTCTCTAGCCAGAGCTGAACTCTTCGGCCAGGCCAAAAGCCAATAGCCTGTGCAAAAGTGCTTGCTGTCAGCTTATACTTTCTTTGTTCTTGCCAGTTTTTGAACCAGTGTCTAAGAACGACTGATTCAACAATAGGACCACTTAAGGTACATAAAAATCTGGTAGTGCAACAAGTACAACAACCAATGCGATATTGACTTGTCGATAGCATGATAGCTCAATGTACACCATTTACATGCACTATCCATGAGTTTATGCATTTATTGTTGACACTTGTGTCATACTTGGGGTTGCCCTGAAACCAAAAATAAATGAACAAAAAAATTTATTATAATAAATGTCAAAAAAAGTGACGAGTGAAGCAATATGCAAAGATAAATGAAACTAAAATCCCCACAAAAAAGAGTCAATGATCAATCAAATGAGTGTAGTCACAAACAAATCATGTCCTCAAGTGAATAGTAGCTTACAAAGGCATGCTATGCCATTCATTTAACCTATTATCAATTGCACGGCACTGACATTATCATGCCGGAGATATGATGTATAGCTGATACACTGGCTATTGCAAGAAGAGTATGCATACATAAAGTCCATTCACTTGTAAACTAGACTCGATTATCCTGAACATGGACCAAGCTTGTGCTTCTTTAAATTTTTTTGTATTTTCAGGGTCAAATGAAATCAAGCAACCTCATAATGGGAGAAAACAATCAACATTACACTGTTTGCCTGTTTCTAATGTATGTGGGCGAAATAAATAAGACTTCCGCAGGCAGACAGACCGAAAAAAGAAAAAGCTTATGATTATAATTTTAGAACCCTGTACATCTCAAATTTAGAACAGAGCTAATGAAACTCCAAAATATCTAAATATTTAAAAGATTATAATATAGAACAGTTATCAAGATTTTCATTTGGACTAAAATAATATTTGTATTAAAGTCTTGTTAGGAAGTGACATCTAATATATTATTGCATTGGCTTGAGATAAGAATAATGCTTTATCGGAACTAAATAGTATTTTAACTATGGACCTTGGACCTTCAGGTGAAACATTTAGTCGAACACCTAGGATATGCAACTTTGATTCAGCCTGAATTAAAACAGCAAACAATAAAGGTACAGACATTTGCCATGTTCATGTATTGTTCAGTTAAGTCAAGGAAATGAAAACCAAATCGCAATCAATGGCTGATGGAACAGAAGTAAGGCATGGGAGAAAAAAGAATATTAATTTGGCCAGCTTTTTATCAACATACGGGCGAATATCAAGCATCAATACTGAAAGAAAATTATTTTCAACTTTAGACAAGATAAAAATATATAGTGATGTAATGCCCTAAGCCCAAAGCAACAGACTAGCCCAATAACTTCATATTCAACTTAAAACCATGGTGGAAGTTGTTGGTAACCCACCACTTTGAGCTTATGAGGAGCACAGTCAGCTCAAAAATCTACTTCTGTATCTACTTGGGATGGGTTGTTACAATTGACACACGGCCATCTCTAGCTAAAAAGGAGGTGTTTGACAGGGCCGGTCCTGAGATTTTGGATGCCCATGGCGGAAAGTCAAAAAAATGCCCCTTATATGTGTAAATAAAAATCAAAATAAACTATTTGAATAGGTTTGGAACCTAGTTAATCTAGGGGGCTCATCCCCACGCCGATTTATTTTAAATATAACAAAAATGATGCAACGGGGGGACATAAACCAAAACCCCGTGTAACAAAATATAAAATAAATCACCATTTGTGGTTCGTGTTGTAAAATTGCCAAGAAAGTTGAACGATTAAGCAACCTGGACAAATTGATAAAGGAGAAGAAAACATAAGCATCAATCTTAAGCCTTTGTCCTATGCTAACCCGCTTCAAAACAGCTCCTAAAAAAGCTTCTAAACACCCCTAAAAATGCAAAATTTAAGGCTTGAGCAAATGGAAAGGAATGGAAATTCTATTCACATTTTGAAGTCTTTAAAGGATACAAATAGTGAACAGGAAATCAGGAATTTGGGCCACCAACCTAGCAAGAAATGGTTGTTTTTTTTATGGAAGGAAGAAGAGGTTTATGGTCTATTAGTCTTATACTCTTATAGACATCTTTACTTCTTCAGGCCAACCACCCATTCACCCAACAATTAACAAATGGTAGCAGAAGCTTTGACTGTTTGACACGCATCAATGTCTGCAAACTGAAGTGAGTAACCAGACTCATTTCATGGATTTTACTTAGAAATTGCAAAACGAAACAGCCCCAGAAACAGTCCCAAGTCCCATTGTAATGTTTTACAGAAAACCTAAGTAGGCATTAGGCAATTAGGCATACATGATACATACAGTATTACATCTTCAAACTTTTAAAGCTTAAAAGAAAACCTAAGTATGGAGTAATGGAGGTAGCTTCATCTAGATTATAAATTAATAAAACAAGAATTATAAACATAAAATAAGTAAAGTAAATAACCCTAACCTAAGTCATCAATAAGTAAAGTAAATAACCCTAACCCTAACCAACAAAGCAAGTCACCACTCACCAATTTCACAGAATCACATCTAAGCTAGTTTCATAACTTCATTATTAGGTTTCCAATCAAACAAAATTATAAACTTAAAAAATACAATAAGTAAAATAATAACCCTAAGTAACTAAGTTAAAGACTTAAAGGTTAAAAGTTAAATGAATCCCTAACCTCAACACAAGTCAGTGGTCACATTTACAATAAGAGAGGGGCAGAGGGCGACGGGGGACGGGGCGAGTGGCGAAGGGCGGAGCCGCGGAGGCCGGAGAGCGAGAGTGGGAGCCGGAGGCAGTCAGGCAGAGAGCGATAGCGACTGGCGACGAGAGAGGCAGCCGCAGACGGCAGACGGCTGTCGATACTCGAGAGAGGCAGAGCGAGAGCGAGAGTGAGAGCGAGAGCGATTTCGATTTCTATTGAGAGTGAACGACAGTCAGCGAAGCGAGAGTCGAGATCGGACGATGATGGTTGATGGACATGGACCGGTAAGTGGTAACGGACTAAGGTCTAAGGGCTAACAGTAATATTTTTAGGCCAAATAAAAACTGAACCTATATTAGAGGTGGCCAAAAATGGGTCCCGGGCCGGGCCATAACCGGTTACGGCCGGTCTCGATCAAGACAAAAACGTTCCATAACCGGTTCCGGTTCCGGTCTCGGTTCCGGTGAAATCCTCCATAACCGGTCAAGCTTACCGGTAACCGGTTAAGCCGTTCGGTCCCGGTTCCGGTCCCATAAATGGTTACGGCCGGTCCTTTGCAAAAAAAATATTATTTTTTTTCAAATTTTTGGTAATTAATAAATTTTTATATATATATAACAAAACATATTTTTAAACGTATTTATTTTTAATACGTTATAAATACGTTTAAAAATATGTTTTGTTATATATGTATACGTTTAATTTTATAAATACGTTTAAAAATATGTTTTGTTATATATATATATATATATATGTATATATACGTTTAATTTTATAAATATGTTTTGTTATATATATATATATATATATATATATACACACGTTGACTTTTGTTGACCGGGCCGGGCCGGGCCTGTCCTATAACCGGTTACATAACCGGTTTCGGTCTTAACCGGTTTCGGTCTTAACCGGTCTCGGTCCTAAAAAACGTTAAAATCCATAACCGGTTCACAACCGGCGGTCCACAACCGGCGGTCCACAACCGGCGGTCCACAACCGGCGGTCCACAACCGGCGGTCCACAACCGGCGGTCCACAACCGGCGGTCCATACCGGTCCCGGGCCGGTTCCGGTCCCTCTCCGGTCCCGGTTCCGGTCCTCCGGCGGTTACGGGCTGGGCCGGGCCCATTTGGCCATCTCTAACCTATATACACATACATTGGGCTTTAGGATTTTTGATGCCCTTGGACTTTATGTTGCCTGGGCCGTCGCCCCTTGGGCCTATGGCCAGGGCCGGCCCTGGTGTTTGAATGCCCTCTGCAAAATGCTAAAGAGAAATGATCTGGCAAGTGTATGTATATTTTTATACTTTAAGCAAAGTTTATTTGATTTTTGGTTTGCCTGGGTCCAAGCCAGAGAGACCTATCCTGTATGCATAATAGATTCATTACACCCAACAGCAATCATAATGCCAAGATATTGAACAACTTGTTTTTCAAAATCTCATGGCAATTTGCATCTTTAACATAAAAGAGATTGAGATGAGGTCATAAATTGCTGCTTTTAAACCCTTTTGCCAATAAATATATTACATAGCAAAATGCACTTCTTTCATCGATCAAAATTGCAACATATTTAGCTGACATCAATCAATAACAGATGACAACAGCACATAACAACAATCATAAAAACACGTAAAAACAATCGAGATAGCAACAAAAGATAACAACAATCGAAATAGAGGCAAAATATAGCAACAATCGAGACTAAATAAGCAAAAATCGAAACCAAACAAGAAGGCGTACCTGATAACAAGGGACTAGACCGAGGAATGGCGAGGAAGGAAGACAGTAGCTGATAGCTAATTAAGAGACGACAGTCGTGATAAAAAAAGAAGAGAGGTGTGAGAAAAAGAGATGAGAAGCCAGAATTGAAAACCTACGTATTCTGTCTTGTACGATACATGTGTTCATGAACCTTTTTGAGTAAATTACATTTTTAGTCCTTATGATTTGTTGAAATCCCTGGATTTCATCCCTACAGTTTTATTACAAATTCCTCTAAGAGTGTAAACGATGTGAGACAACTCGCGAGCTACTCGAGATCGAATCAGTCAAAGCCCGGTCAACACTCGACTCAAATAGGCTCAGCTCAAACTTGAGTTCGACTCAACATATTAACGAGTCGAGTCAAGCTACACAATACTCGACTCGGAAAGCTCATGAGATACTCGAATATTTTATATATAATTAGTTTTAAAATATAATCAGTTTTTATGAGAAAATTTCTAAAATATAAATAATAAAAATGTCTTATGTTTTAGATATTTAAACAAAATTATGCATTTTTTAATTATAAAAAATTAATCAATTTTTTTTATTAAAATCACAATTAAAAAAACAAAGAAAAACTATAAAAAAAAGTTAGTGAAATTGTCCCATATTGAAAGAAAGATAGTAAAGGAAGGGAGAAAAAATGTTATAAAAAGATAGGGACATGAATGAAATTTCTAATTTTGCTTTTTTGATTATGAAGTTTGAAATTGGTACCTTTAGTTTTATAAAAACTAATATAACACATTTAAGTTTTAAAATTTATAAGTGAAAGACCCGGAAATTTCATAAATTTCAATGGGTGAGCTTGGTTTGAGTTTGATTCGAGTTAAGTTCAAGACTTCAAGCTTGATTTGAGTTGCAGTTCGAACTTGTTTCGAGCTTGATTTGAGCTCCAGTTCGAGCTCAATTCGAGCTTAGTTCAAGCTTGATTTGAGTTTGAGTTCGAGCTTGAGAAATAGTTATCGAGTTCGAGTCGAGCTTTCATATTTACTACTCGCGAGTTTTCGAGTCGAGCTCGAGTTTGGAAATTGGGTTTCAAGTTCGAGTCGAGTATAGTAACATTCAAGCTCAACTTGCATCATTTACACCCTTAAATTTCTCTATATTGTTTGCAATTATATATAGATTTGGTCCTTGTGCATAACGACACTTAAGTGAGCCTTGTTACAATTGAGGGGACTTTAATATAAAAAAAATTGTTTTTTATTAAATAATTATTATTGTACAAGTATATAAAAAAAATTGTTTGAAAATAAAAACCACCCCGTTATCATCGCCCGATCTTCCTCCCACTGCCCACCACTCCTTCTTTATGCCTACTTCTAGCACCTCTTATTTTTTGGCACCCACCCGCCTCCTTCCATCGCAGCCACATCTCAATTCATTCCCCCTCTAGCAGTTGTATTACATCGTTATGTATCCATCTATTACATAATGGTTTGTTCAAGTTGTATTACACGCCTCCACTCCTCCTAAATGTGTACTTAAACTGTGAGGCTCTACATTATCGTTTGATTTGTTTTCAACTTTTCATAATGCATCGTCTGGTAAAAATTTGAGATAATTTGGAACCATAACCACACAATGACGTTGAGATTATGTGTGGTGGTGGTTTTTTTGTTAAATATTTGCTTTAAATTGTTTAGGCATATGGATATCGATGTGTGTTGAGAGTAAGTAGCCATTGATTGTTGACATTTCTTTTTGTAGATGTGGATGTGATACTATGATAAGGTTGAGCTACAACAATGGTTTATGCAGGATCTCAATAACACATAATGTAAATGCACCAAGAATACACACAAACACGGAGAATAGAGCTATTTAAAGAGAAAAAGAGGGGTACCAATGGTGGGAACAAATATGAACCGAAGATGTTTCAAAACAGAAATCAAATGTGAATACAAAAAAATTGAATGGTGTTATGCATAGCAGAAATTGAACGTGAATACGAACAAATTGAATGGTGTTATTCATAGCATAAATCGAATAGAGAGTAAAAACACATAACCAAAAGTATTGGAGATATTTTGAGGAGATGGAGAGCAGCTTCGATTCCTAAAGAAAGTGGAGAGCAGCTTCGAGATGGACAACAGTGTGAGAGGGAGGTCGTGAGACAAAGGGCAATCTTGAAAAATTAGGGCTCTGGACGGTTTAGTGAGGCCAAACATAAAAAATCACTCAAGAGGTTAATAGAAGCATTAAGAGGTTGAGTTTTTAACCAAACAAGATATATATCTTCGATTCAAGAGTTGTCTCCTAATGAAACTAATAAGAGGCAAATAAACAGTCACTCAATACATAAAACTCACTTTTAAAAAGAAGATAAAACCGGTCCCTCGTTAAGAATCAAGTCCACACCATCTCAACTCTTTTCACAAA